GATTACTGGTTGAAATTGTCGCAATCTATAACGATGCGAAATTTAACAGAAAGCGTCTACCACTAGTAGAAAAAGTCTTGCGCAAAAATCACGAAAGCTATGCTTTTATATTATACGCACTTGATAAGTAAAAGCCTAATTCTACTAAAAAAAATTTAATATTTTTGAAAGAAAGTTCAATCGTGATTTTGTTGACTTATGAAAATTGTGACAAAGAGTTTTACAAAACCACGGAAGTGCATAAGTTTTCTAAGCAACGAACTTGCAGAATATCACTAGCAAAAAATAAATAAATAAATGAAGACGTTTGACTACTAGTATTATAAATATTTGAAAATCAATTATAACAAAATATTTTCCATGACAATTCTTCATTTAAAAGCCTTCAAATTATAAAATTGAAGAGATAGGAAAATAAAATGTTCATATTTTACCTGAAATAACCGATAACCATTTAAAGGAGGCCGCATTTTAAAGCAGTATCGTTTCACTTTGCTTTACTCTAAACAAAAATACGGTTTATTCCAGTTCCAAAAGTACAATCGAAATTCAGACGATTTTTAAATTCCGAATCATCTTTATTTCCTAGGTAAACAATAACATAGGTGGCGTTGCGAAGGCTAAGAGGTCCAAGAACTTCCTGGATAAACTTTTTCATGGTCAGTTTTTGGGAATCACAGATAATCTTTCTTCACGCACGAGCTGATATATAACTGTTTCAGGCAAGCTTTTTATTATTCTGATCGAGTCATAAAAAGATTTTATAATAAACGCTAAGCTGGATTAAGTTTAATTTAAGATCTGATGATAAGAAATTGAAAAAAAAATTATTTTAGGTCATTATCACAAACTATTATTATAAAAGAGGCTATTGCCACCATGTTTGCATACATAACAGAATTAAGTGTGAACGATATGTTTGAAAGTATTCGTAAATTGCGTAAAATTACCGACTTGTTTACGGTTATGAAAAAGAAGAATTTCGTACTGATAACGCAATATTGAATAATAGGAAACAACAGCTACGGCTATGTGGAAATGTCATAAATAGTTATTACTATGAGAAAAGGGTAACCTTCTAAAATACTAGGAATATTATAAATCATGCATATTCACTTTAAATACCTCATAATAGCACATATTTCATAGTTGACCTTAGAGGATTACGCGTAGATTCGTGTAATTGGTTTTATTTAATAAGTAAAAAAAACTAATTACTACTTCAAATGTTTAAATTCCAACGCCCATTTCCCGAAATCTCGCAGAATACGCATTCATACTCATTAAAACTATACATAAAAGGTATTTCTTACATAAAAGGTATTAGAAAAAAATAAAAACAACCTTGGTTTTGTAAAAAAGAAATTAAGATTCTAAGTAGTTGCAAGAACTACAGCTTTTTAAAATAATTAATTACTTTAAAAATCAAAATATTTATTCATTCTTTTATCATCGTTATGAATAAGAATGGTTGATGAAATCATGATAATGTTTTGAAGGGCGCAAACGATCTAGAACAGGGGTTTCCAACTTACATGAGTCTGAGGGCCGCAATTAAAAACATCAGTCAAATGGCGGGCCGCAACTTTAAATTTTATATAGGAATCTTTTATGTTTGAAGGAACTTTTATGTAATTATTACAGTCAAATTTTTATCAAGTAGTACAAAACAAAAGTATTGAATTAAAAATTAAAATAAGAAGTAGATTTTTACCTGAGAATTTCTTTTTTTTTTTTTTGCATCGTTGGTATGCGAAATTCTACAGAAACGAAGAAATTATGTTGTTTTTTTAACGAAAAAAAAAAGTATTTTAAACCCATATAGATTTCTTTCGAAAATTGTCAGCAAAAAATGACAACTAATATATTTTAGTTCGCGGGCCACAAAAAAAGGCTTCGCGTGCCGGATGTGTCCCGCGGGTCGCCAGTTGGTAACCACTGATCTAGAATATGCTATCCCTGCCAAAAAACGCCTTAGAAAATAAAAGCTATTCGAAATGTTTATCTCTTACTAAGTTTATTAGCACTATGTGAATCTGTTTAATTTGTATCTGCATGCAGGCTATTACTATAAGAGACCACGTTAATATTTTTTTGGAAATCAATAAAAAGCGGTCTTCATAATAATAATGCTTGTAGCTGTCTTTTCTTCGAAAATCATCATTCATAGATATTTCCCCCACATTTTCTTTCTTTTTTGCGTGAAATGAAACACTAGGTAAATTGAGAGCAATATTTAAAATAAGGATAAAATTAGTAAAAATTATTTAAAATTAAGATAAAGCAATAAAAATAATTTAAATTAAAAATAAAAAAACTTTTATTTTTTTAGGCTACGCAACCGTCTAATATATATTTAATTTTCAAAGAAAACATTAAAAATTTCTGCTGATTTTACTATTTCAAACCTAATACAAATAGTATAAATTGATGTTGCTTTCCACGACATAATAGGCAAGAACTAAGTGTGTTTATTGACGGTGATAAGATAATACTTTTGTACAGTTTCAGACACAGAAATCATTAAAATGCAACTTTGACGACCTCACTATGAAATCTTTCCTGACATTCATGATAAATTTGCATTTACAACACGTTTATCAAGTTCTTGTGCACGAGTGGCAGTGGAAGTGATAAGATAAAGAGAAAAAACTATCAACGCCTCCTCCAACATTGTATTAAAAAAAAATACTTGCGTGCAAAGCAAAAACTATTATGCAATAATAATTCTTAGTTATATTGCCTATTCGGATATATGGCTCTTTTTTTTTAAATGGGGAAACGATTAGCATTTTTTTTTAGTAATTTAATGCAATTCGATGAACAAGATTTCCTTTTTACTATGGCTAGGATAGCAATGGAGAATATAATTTGTATACATTGGCAATAGCTATCTATATATATTTGTTATTTTATTGCCACAGTGTTTCCCAAACTTATGACTTTCGTGTACCCTTTCTAAATTTTTCGTAACCCTGTGTACCACTAGTAAAAAAATGAATTGATTTTTTACTATAGGAAAATTGCACAAAAGTTAAAAATCACAACTGGCTGTTGACACTACTAATTATTAACTGTTAACTCTGTAAAAAATAGCCAATAGAAAAATACGTAATCGTAAATTTTCATGGCTAGCTTTGCTTTTAAATATTTTTCTTTAAATTTTCGTTTGTTGCAAGATATTTCGCATAAGAAAGCGTACCCCCGCTAAACTGTTCCCGTACCCTTGGGGGTACGCGTACCACACTTTGGGAAACACTGGCGTACCACAACAAAAATAAGTGTATTACTTGATTAAGAACTTCATTCGCTTCAAAAATATACAAATTGCAAATAACAGTCGACATTTCTCAAGCGCTCAAAACTAGGTTCCCATTTTCAAGATTTGTCAGACGTGAATGAGGAGAAACAAAAGAGATTTGAAATATAAAACGTTAAGTTCCCAACGAAAAGTGAAAAAATAAAATTAGAAAAATCACAGTAACTGAGAGAAGAGAAAAAAAAAAGAGGAAAAACAGAACAAGAAAAACCATCAGAAAGCTGCAAATCAGGGTAAAATGCATTTCCACAAGCTATGGAGAAGTGGTGATGAACTAATATCGTTAACAAGGGAATCGGCATAAATATTAATAAAGCAAGATTCCAGGGCATCAAGATGAGCTGATATAACAAGGTGGAAATAATTTTGGCATTGTCGAAATTAAATGTATGGCCAAGATTCTAACAAAATGCAGCGATTGATGATTTCTCGTATGCTTGATAACGAACATATCTATCGTGGTCCTTTAATCTAAATTTTTAAGCTCGTCTAATTTGTCCGATGTAGCCGAAGTCTCACTGATAAGAAATGTGGTAAATACCCCCGCAATTATCAAAACTAAAAGGATCTCTAAGAGACTTAAATTTAATTCGGTAAACAAGTCTAAAAATGATTTTATCAATTTTATAACAAGCGGGAGAAAAAAACGGTAAAGTAAACAAATTCTCTGTAAGATTCAGAGGAAGAAGGACGTTTAGGTTTATAAGTTTAGCAAGAGCTGAATCAACTATAGAAATTTCAATAGTTAATAGCTGCAGTGTAATCTTAAAAAAGCTTCCTTAAGAATCTTCATTTAGGAAAGTTTCACCATAATGTAAGTTTATTTTTGTTATCATTTTTTACTATTTTTTAATTTTTTCATACTATTTTTTCAACACCAAAAAGTGAAGTTCCAAATACTACATTTGTCATCGAGAATAGTAAACAGAGATGCCAACTGCTCCGGACGCGTCAAAATAATTAATAAAACGGTAAATAACTACAAAGTAAAATTTGCAAATATTTGACTATTTTTGCTTGCTATTTAAAAGGTATAGCATGACGTAAGTACTGTAAAGTGCTGAATTATATAAGCCTACGAACTATTTAGAAATAGTGGTGGATGAAAATCTACTAAATTGAATTTATTAAACCAAGAATCACAATTTATAAACTACCACTTTAAAATATATATTTGCTGTCCGGAGCAAGTTGGCATCTCTGTAGTAAATAATGTTAAAACATTTGATAATTGTTATTTATTAAATATTAATTTTAATAAAGAGTAATAAGTAACACGAAATATTAAAATTTGATAGAAAAGAAACAAGAACATTTTGAGAGCACGACTGAGTGTTCGAAAAGCATCTATAAATTTTTTTTCAAGGATTCACGTTCATTAAAAGTTTTTTCAATTAAATTCATAAGACAGAATTAAATATTAACAAATAAAGCCTGGAGAGGGAAAGGCTAGTACAGAGAAATTCTTTAAAATACTTATATGATTCAATTAAGAACTCTTAATACAAAATTTATCCAAATTTTGTTAATTCCAAATCTATAGCGTGTATCATTTTTATTTTTAACAGTCTATCAATAGAATCCTAATACACAGAGAGTTATTAAACAAACATTTTTAATAAACTTTGAAGTAAGAATCATAAACCCGAAAAATGTTTTTAAGAAATTGGTAAATGCTTACCAGCAAACGATATCCTGCAAGCATATTGAATCAAAATCGTTCTCAAACAATAAACGTGAAAGCTTGTTACTCAAATTTGCTGCTATTACGACAATTTTTGCCAATTGTTATCACGACAATTTATTTTATGTATTTCCATCCAGCAAAATGACACGTCTAAAAACGTAATAAATAAATAAATAAATAGTGCAAGTTGTAGAGATAAAATTTTTTGAATAGCATTGATTGAGACTTGGCGATAACACGAATCCTTGAAAACGCCAAAACCGTGATGCTCTTATCTCTAATCGTACTTACTGAATTTCTTCTCTCGAAACATTGAGTAGTAGTAGTTGCTTAAAACGCATCCTCGTTACTTAAGGAAGGAAACAGTAATTAAATACTTAATTTAAATAAACTAGGATGAAGAATATTTTTTAACCATATTTATGTGCATCTAATATAAGCCAGAACGATAAAGAGTTGAGTCGTGCAGAGTTAAAATGATGAACCATTTTTTATGTCTGACGGAGCATTGTTAATTAGAGCACTTGCATTGTCTTTCAAAAATTATAAGAATTAGCCGTTATTAAATTCGATGAAAGAATAGGATAAGTGGGATATTTGGGTACATTTCGAATTTCCCAAATTATTGCTACTTTTAATTGTTATCACTTTTTAATTTTATTTATATAAGCCATAACAATGCGCGGGATTGAGTTATAAAATTATGAATCACTGTTTTTTTTCTTCCTGAGAAAGCCATTGTTAATTAAATCATTGTATTATCTTCCATAAACTAGAATAATTAGCCGTCTTTAAATCAGATTGAAAAAGATGTTGTAGAATACTCGAAAATTTTACGAAAGATTATTTTGCTTATTTTTAATTAACTATTTAATTTTATTTATTTATTTTTTAAGAAAATTATTAATTCTACAAGGACTATGAAAAAGACGCATTACATTCCTGCATTCCAGTCAATTACAAAAATAAGAAGAAAGGGTGGGGGTCGAAAATTGTTTGGATTTAATCGGGAGACTTCTGATAAATTTCATCAATAACAAATAACTTATAATAGTTATATTTTACTATTATAATTAATTGTCCGCTCGGTGAGAACAAAACATTTACACCTATTATAATTACAGCAGTCTTTACGTGGAATATATAAATGTGAATTTTTTTACTGAAATGTAAGTATTTTTTTAAATGAAATTTTTTGCTCGAATTTATTTTTATGAATATGAATTTGTAATAAGATGTAAGCATAAATTATTAATATATTTCTTATATTAAAATTGAAATTATAAAAATATGATCTTGTATAAATAAGTCCATTAAAATTAGACTTCTCTTAAAAAAACTAATACCCAAAATAAGTTTTTTTTTTTTTTTTTTTATTTNGTTTTGAAAAAAAAGAAAGAAAAAATTATTTTGCCTTTATCAATAATGCCTAAAAAAATCTACACTTCGCTGTACGCTTCCCCCTTTTTTATTATCAATTTATTAAAGATTATTAGAATTTTTCAAAATTAATTAAATAAATTTATCAAAATTGTTGTTAGAGTTCTAATTTTCTTTATTTAATATTGTTTTTTTCATGAAAAATGTAAAAGTGAATTAATTATTTAATTTATTGAGAAGTCATAACTTCAGTCATCAAGTCATTATTGAACTATTTGAGCGGTTTTTATATTTAATGCAAATTGTGCAAACATGCTACTTTAAAGAATTAATGGAAATTGCGAAATTGCTTAAACTGAATCAGACGATAATTCTTCAATAACGATAATATCAAACGATAATTACTCAAAAATAATTTTGCCTCGGAAATTAAAAATTCTAAATGTAATCGGCGTAGAAGAAAAAAAAGAAATAATCCATAATTGGGTATAATATAGCCTACGTCACAGGTTGTGTTGTTCCTACTAAATTTAACCCATGAACGGCATTTTCTGCGAGCCTAACTTCAAGCCACAAATAAACAAACGAAGTGTTCGATCGTTTAAATAGCTGCTCGCCAGATTTTATTGCATTATAAAGAAAAGTTATTGAAACTAAATACAACTAAATAAACAACAACAACTAAAACAAATAACAACAACTACTAATAACAATAACTAAATAAACAACAACTAAATTCCATTCGTTTAGCNTTAAATTAGACAATTAAAAACATTTTTAAAGTTTCACTGTAGAATTTCAGTGAAACTAAATTTAGATATAGCAAAATTGAAAGAAAAAAAAAACTCCATGGAATACAAAACACAAAAATCTATCAATAAAAAGACCAGATGTTTACAAAACAAATTTTAGAGTTCACTCAAAATTTTATTTAAAAAGCATGAAATGGATCCTAAGGTTATGGTATAATGAATGGGGCACAATTAGATGTTACTTATGCATTTTCGAAAGATATCATTATTACTTTACAACAAAATAGTGCGTTATCCTTGTCTTCCTACTGGAACTGGAACCATTTTGCTCTAATCTCCACACGACGGATCTTCACTATACGGCCAAAGGGCTGAAACCAGCCAGTCAGCACCACCAATACGCCAACAACCAGTGTTGCCAGATTAGGGGTTTTCCCCCTAAATTTAGGGGGATTTTTATCTTCAGTGGGTATTTTAGGGGAATTTGTTTTTAGGGGTTTGTTTTAGGGTCATTTGTGAATTTTACTAGTTTTATTTTGGTTACGTTCTAATATCAAATTTCATAACTGAATGTGTGAGATGGTAATATGAAAATCAATATGTTAAACCAAAACAGAAAGATTAAGATTTAATTTTAGAACTTAACCCCTTTGTTGAATGTAGTAAGTTATTACTTAGCTCGATCAACCTTTACGTTTGGTGAATTTTAATTCAAATTATTTAAAATTTTTAATGTGCATGGTTTAAAAATAATGCCAAAGGATAAAGAAAAAAAGAAGTACGTACAAATGTACAAGAAAGAGTGGGAGCACGAAAAGCAATTTAAAGGTAAATTAATAGTTTAATTGTTCATCCTTTTTTTTTTAATTATCAGCACATTATTAATTTGTTGATAATAAAATACTAATATAATAAAATAATAATAAATGTACTATTAAAATGTTAATAAATAAAATAATAAATGTACTATTTTTTAATACTTATACATTAATTGAAAAAATTAAATTTAGGGGATTTTACAAAGCCATCTGGGGGTGAACGGGTATCGGCACCTGGCAACACTGCCAACAACTGTCCAGCCAGCATCCCGTGACCTAGCAAACCTGATGTTTGGTCCGCCACGGTTTATTTTGATTATATTTTAGAACTTACATAATAAATGAATTTTCAAATTATAATTCAAAATTCGTTTATTAAACAAAACAAAAAATACACAAAACTAAAATACAAAATGAAATGTAACAATTTAATTGAATTTAATGATTTGAAATTTGTTCAAAAAATTTACAATAAGTGACCACCTCACGACAGAGATGTCTCACTGGCTCGATATATATAATTCTTGGTAGCAAAAACTATACAGGATGTAGGTATGATGAGCAAAGCAACAGAGTAAATGAGCCGAAATACTCAAAATGCCTTACCAGTGACAAAGGCAAAAGATTTAAAATGCCTTGAAAAATGCTTAAAATGGCCCCAAAATATTGGAAAAAGTTAAGTTTTCCATAAGTTTCTAAAATTTGGGGGGATGACTCCCCATCTCTTGGTCGAAAATAAAGCGCAAATTTAAATTTTAGAGCAAAGAATAATTTTATGTACGTTTCGAACATTAACACATATATTCAACATTACCATACATTAGAACATATCTTATCAAAGATATAATATGTAACAAAAAATTTTAATGTATAAATACAAACCTCATTGTCAATATAATTGAGAAACAGTTGCCTACGATATCCTACTTGGAAATATGAATACATGTTGAGCTCTGAGAAGAAAATTTTATCTTACATTTAACAGATAGATACCATTTTGCGAAACTGTAAAGTAAGAAGTTATCGGAGTTTCCCCTACTTAAAGCGATAGAATTTTCGATATGTGGAAAACACCGATAAATTCGCTAAAGAAAAAAAAATTTGAAGACCTTGCTCTATTACGAAACTTCGTTCGAAGTGCTTCAAAACTAACAAATTATGAACAACGTCTAAGAAATTTTACTCAAGCGAAATTCGATATTAAGATAATTTAGAATTTTTCAATTTAAATGACAGAAAATAGCAACCGGAACTTCGTAATAATAACATGACTATATAGTGAAAATTAAGGCTATGTCGTCAAACCCTTTCAATGAATCAACATTTCGTTAGAGATGAGCACGAACAAAAATCATTGACGCAAAGCAGTTTTTAATTTGACGTAAAATCAGATAACTTTTTACAAACATAACTTGATGTAACTGATTATATCTGATCTAAAATTTTGTAATCTAACTATAGAATATTTCTTACTAACCAGCCTTCACGTTCATTGACAAGGATAGCTGATATGAATTGCCAATTTGACATCACCTTTCTCTTTACCTTAAACATACCTATTCATAATTTATCCAGATAAAGGTAGCTACAGAGAATAGTCTTAAAGCACTGTTAATGCAAATTATACAGAGAGTTTTTAGGGCTCCAACGTCAGAACTCTAGATTTATCAATTATTATAATCTGTCGAAGAGTTACAGCATAAGCAAAAATTGTGATTTAAACAGTAAAGTAACCTACCGCTTAGTTTCCACCAAAACTGGAGGAATTGACTGAAATGAACAACTTAATGACACACAAAAGACGGAATTGGTAGTGCTTCACCAATCACTTGCTGTAGTTGACAAATGCCAAGCTTTGGCTATCATGCCATTAGCTGTAGAGCTTTCCAATACTTTTGAGGAAGATCGTTCAAATTTCTGAGTGCTTAGCCCTAGTCCAGGTGAGTGCTTAGCTCTTGTCCAGCATTGAAACAACATAAGGGAGAGTCCATAAATTTAAAACGAAGCAAGTAAAGCAAACAATCATGCCCGGTCAAAAGCTTAAAACGCGCAACTGTTGCAGACTTTTGAAGGTCTGCGACCAGAGCAGAGCATTCGCAAAAGCCTGGAGAGTGGCAAAGCTGTAGCAGATATACAGGGTGCAACATGAGGATATGTTACACCCCTTAAACGTAGCAGACCATCTCGTAGGATGACAAATACATATGTTGGGAACGT